AAAATCCATGTCACATGTGACCTGTCCCTCACTCTTGATTGGAGCTCTGGTGCACAGTCTTTTGCGATTGGCTAATTTAAAGGGAGGGGTTGGCCTTTGCTGTTTCAAGATGGCAGCCCCCAGGGGAGCTGTAAGCCATGCAGCCAACATGGTGGCTGCCAAGTTACGCAGTCCAAGATGGAGCTGTCTAAACTGCTTTTTGACAGAAAAGATTTATTTGTTTCTTCTCACACATCCTTCCTATAATCTCTCAGAGCAAGGTGCATTAGTTGATCAAAGGTTAGAACTTGAATAGCCGAAACCGGTTTGGCTCAGTGGTAGAGCGTCAGTCTGTGGACTGAAAGGTCCCGGGTTCGATTCTGGTCAGGGGCATGTACGTTGGCTGCGGGCACATCCCCAGTAGGGGGTGTGCAAGAGGCAGCTGGTCAATGTTTCTCTCTCATTGATGTTTCTAGCTCTCTATCTCTTCCTCTATGTAAAAAATCAATAAAAATATATTTAAAAAAAAAAAGAACTTGAAGTAATAATTCCTAAATGCCTACAATGTGGCAAGCCCTGTGCTAGGTATTTTATTTACAGTTAATTTTCAAAAAATCCCTGAAAGTAGATAGTCACCTGATAAGCAATATGAGGATTATAGAGATTAAATAATTTGCTCAAAACCACACTCCTAATTTTGAGTAACAGTCCTTATTAAAAAGTCTGCCTATTATGATTATTTCTTTGGAGAAAAAGTCCTATCATTTAGAGATACACAGAATAGTATATTTACAAATGAAATGACATCTGTAATTTGCTTATAAATAATCAATTAAGAGATAGTGGGTGCAAGTATAGATATAAGGTTAGCAATCAGTTGAAGTTGGTTGATAGGGTCATAGTCCATGATACAGTTTTTTCTATATTTGTGTCTGAGGGAACTTTTCCATACTGAAAAGTTTTTAAAAGTATGTACAATCTGAGAGGTAGAATCAAGATGAAATTGGTGCAAATATTGAGGAGGAAAAAAAATGGTGGAAATTTATAGTAGTATTTGCCTTAGCAATTCAATAACATATAGCTTGTCCATTTAGAGCCAATTTTTTTTAGCATATCCCCTAAATCAACTTCACATGTATTTACAAACAGACACTTTCACATCTTATTTTAAAAAAGAAGTGAAATTTTTTTCACAGTAATTATCAAGATCTCAAGCTTCTTCTTTTGGTTCTAAACATACTTCTCTGTTTAAATAAAAGACCCAGAGACTAGTTTACCAAACACTCAGGCCTTTTTCTCTTCTCTTAATTCCATTTAAAGTAGCTATATTACTGTTTGCTCATTCTGTTTAAATTCAAAGTGGCAGGAAGAGAACACACAGCTTAAACTAGTCAAATTGCCAGCCACATTTGATCAGCTCTGTGAAGAGGTTTTCTGGAGATAGTTGGTGTGATTTTGTTTTTTTTAACATCACTATCAGTTTCAGTTCTAGTTCTGCCTATTCCCTAACTTTCATGTGCTAAACTAAAAGGGGTAATAATAAAGCCCATCTTAAAATGGAAGGAGTTAAAATATCACCACTATATTGAAAACACACACACACACACACACACACACACACACCACAATTTGGCATAGTGACTGGTATAAACCAGCAGGCACCTGTCACAGGATGTCCTCATCTCCCCACACTTTTGGCTTCAAGGGCAGTCCTGTTGACATTTTCAAAAGCTCCAAAGCTGATAACGTGCCAGAAAGTACTCCTTACATAGAAGTATGCATGTCTAAGTGTGGGCCTTAGGTATTGGGAAACACTCAGGGGGTTCTGGGATTTAATAGTTGGGCAAAGGAGTATGGTGCTTAGGAATGGACCCTGAAGCTGTTAAGCCAAGGTCTCAAGGACTAGCCAGCCAAATGAAGCAGGGAGTTAAGAGACAGGCTGGAAAATGGGATTTGTACATTCTGTATAATTTATTCTAACCCACTCCCACAAAATAAAGTTAACCATGTACCAAACATCTATAATAATAATAATAATAATAATAATTATTATTATTATTATAAAATAAACCCACTCCCACACATACAAGACTGTGTTCAATATTGTTCCCTGGAATGACTTCTTAGCCTGAAACCCCACTCTCAAATAATCTGAGGTTCTTCATCTATGTGTTATTGTGAAAGTATTTTGTAGATATGATTAATGTTCATAATCAGTATAAAGGAGATTGTCTTACATAATCTGGGGGGGAGGGGCTGACTCAATTAATTGAAAGTCCTTGAGAGTAGAACTTGAGAGGTTTCCCAGAAGAAATTCTGCCCGTGGACTGAAACTTCACTCATGCTTGGGAGTTAATAAATAGCCATGGTAGTGAGCGGCTTGGGACTGACCGCTTGGAGGGCAGAGCTCTCCTAGCATTATTAAGCTTAACCTTATAGCCCTCCCTAGTTGCTTCTTAGGTAGCTAATGGGCTGTGGGAGGTGGAGCAAGTGCTACAAAAACAAGGTGAAACTCATAAGAACACTGTAAACATGTTGACCACTACCCTTGTTTTGCTTTGTGTGCTCTGACTATAAAATAAAGACTCAACCTGTCCAGCATTCAGGCTTGATCCCTGGTCATCCTCCGCAACTGTGTAAGTCAATTCCTTGCAAAAATTCCTTAATGTATATTGCCTCAGTTTCTCTTGTATACAAAAAAGGGGCCATTTACTAATCTTGACAAGATCAGGGGAGGCCTTACAAACGCAGAGACCTACAGTAAATACCTAGGATGGTCTGAAATTAAAATTCTAACTAAAAGTGAGTCATGGTGGGTAGTAAAGTCCTAGTATCTTCCATGACAGGTAAATCTTTACCATAACTAAACCAACTGTCTTTTGGTTTTTAAAAAAATATATTTTATTGATATTTCACAGAGAGGAAGGGAGAGGGATAGAAAGAAACATCGATGAGAAACATTGCTCAGCTGCCTCCTGCATACTCCCTACTGGGTATGTGCCTGCAACCAAGATACATCCCCTTGACCAGAATCAAACCTGGGACCCTTGAGTCTGCAGGCTGACACTCTAACCACTGAGCCAAGCCGGCTGGGACCCAAATGTCTTTTGCATCTACAATAACATATCTTTGGAATGTCAGGGTAATTTCTTTTTTCTCAGACCTCTCACTGTACCAGGACATAGACTACAAAACCCCTCATTGCTATTGTTACCCTGTTGTTAACACCCCTGTAACCACAAATGTAAAAGAAGTCTCTATTTGTTTTACTTTTTATCCAGTCCCTGAGATTTCCCTGCTTTGCTTTCTCCTGCCTCCCTACCATCAGTGGATTTCATCTAACTCCCTTTTATCTTCCCTTTTGATTCTGATGTAGAAAATAACTGGCAAAATTGCCATTTTCTGGAGCTTTTCTCAATTTGTTGAGATTTTGCTTCCTGGCAATTGTCAGTTTGGCTCAAATAAACTTATAAAAATTCTCTACAGGTTTAAATGTTTCTTATATTGACACTCTAATAGAGCCCTAATACAGTGATTGAGCATGAGTATTTCAAGTAGTAGTATGTACAATTTGTATTTTAATAATAGCAAATGCAAATGGATTTTTATATATAGGAGTGTGTGTGTGTATGTGTGTGTGTGTGTGTGTGTGTATATATATATATATATATATATATATATATATATATCTCAAAAGGTTTATACTGCTATATCACGTATACAGTTTTAAAAACACAGACATGAAAAATGTTGAGATTAAAAAGTAAATACAAAGAGGGGCTGTAATTCTCTTCCTGTATCTCTAGAGTCATCTTGCATTTATCTCACAGTATGTACAATTGCTAAATTTAGGGTACTTTTAAAAAATATATTTTTATTGCTGAAACTGGTTTGGCTCAGCGGTAGAGCGTCGGTCTGTGGACTGAAAGGTCCCGGGTTCAGTTCTGGTCAAGGACATGTACATTGGTTGCGGGCACATCCCCGGTGGGGCGTGTGCAGGAGGCAGCTGGTCAATGTTTCTCTCTCATCAACGCTTCTAGCTCTCTATCTCTCTCCCTTCCTCTCTGTAAAAAATCAATAAAATATATATTTAAAAAAAATATATATATATATTTCATAGAGGAAGGGAGAGGGAGAGGGAGAAGTATCAATGATGAGTGAGAATCATTGGTTGGCTGCCTCCTGCATGCCCCACACTGGGGATTGAGCCTACAACCCAGGCATGTGCCCTTAACTGGAATCGAATCTAGGACCCTTCAGTCTGCAGGCCCACGCTCTATCCACTGAGCCAAACCGGCTAGGGTAAGGATACTTTTCAAATATTCTAAAATATACACTAATCAAAATCAAAGACTGTTTGTCGTCACAGTAAAAATTTTACAAACCAGACATGTTACTATTCACCTCAGTACGGTAATTATGAACAACTAGCAGAGCACCAAGTTGAGTAGTCAAGGGTCTGAAACACTAATATTTCTTTCACAAACATGTACATGAAGTCCTTTCAGTTTAACTGAAGTGTCTTTTGGCTTTGATAGTGCTGGTGAATGAAAGGATAAACAAACATATCACGCTGAAACAGGTTTGGCTCAGTGGATAGAGCATTGGCTTGCGGACTGAAAGGGTCCCGGGTTCAATTCCAGTCAAGGGCATGTACCTTGGTTGTGGGCACATCCCCAGTGCGGGTGGAGGGTGGGGAGATGCAGGAGGCGGCTGATAGATGTTTCTCTCCCATAGATGTTTGTGTCTCTCTGTCCCTCTCCCTTCCTCTCTGCAAAATGTCAATAAAATATATTTTTTAAAAAACAAACATATCGCAACACATCAGGACGTCAGAAGAGGTGTTCATAAGGATTCAGTAGCAACAACCACATTTCAAGATATAGGACTTGAGCGATTAGGACGATAAACCAGTTCCCTGCGGGGGAGGTGGAACGACCTTCAAAGTTGGTAACTTTTTCAGCCAATGACACATCCACGCCAAGGAGAGAGTAAAAGGCTGGTTCCTTTGAGTCATATTTAGAAGTAATGCATGTTCTTGTTAAATATGTCTCACTTGAAAGAGAAATTTCTGAGACTTTATAACAGCTCCCTACCCAACACTGGCCCGGTGGGAGCTCCAGTATCTAAACTAGGAAAGAACTCACGTGGTCTAGTGTCAAAGGAAGAACCCAGTCCCCAGCGGAAGAGGCGGAACCCACTTGATTCTGGCCCTTTTATTGGCCACGCAGCCAGGAGGCTGAGCCTTGATCACCACCAATGAGTGGTTGAAACTTCTGGTGACGTAACCTAACGTCGCGGTGGTGGCGTGCGACGATCTACGTACACTGGTTCCACAGGGGCGCAGACGTCCTGCTTCCGGCCAATCAAAAGAGAAGCCGGCTCCCGGCAATTCCTCGCGCCTCCCCGCCTCTTTCGCTTCCCTGGCGCTAAGGCCCGCCTCCCAGCTGCTGACCAATCCTCTTCATGTTCCGTGGCGCGTTTACCCAATCAGAGAGGTAGAGGGTGGAGTTCCGGTTGTGTGCTCCTCGCTGTGCCGGAGCTCTTGTTCCCTGCGGCGCCGCTTGTGATCTGGTAGCTGAGGTACCTTTCGTAGGGCCGGGCTGGGCGAATCTCTCAGCCGATGGCGGCGGAACGGCGGAAGTCTAGCGCTGAGGGTCGTGGGGAGGAGCCGGAGGAAAGGACCACGCGTTGGGGCTTCTGGTGCCGCGGTCCGAGCGTCGGTCCCACCCGCGCGGACCCGAGCCTAGGGCCTCTGCCGCCGCCAGCACTTCCTTCCGGTCATTCATTGAAAGCGTTGCGCCTAGCCCTAGCCCTAGCCGGTGTGGCTCAGTGATGGGAGCATCGGCCTGGGACTGAAGGGGCTCGGGTGCGATTCTGGTGAAGGGCCCGTGCCTTGGTTGCTGGCTCGCGGGGCACGTGTGGGAGGCAACCAATCGAAGTGATCGAAATCGAAGTGATCGAAGTTCTTTTCTCTCACTCCCTCTCCCCTCGCCCCCCACTCTCTCTGAAAAATCAATAGGAAAAAGTACCCTCCGGTAAGGCTTAACCACAACAGGAAAAACGTAACATCTTTTGTCAAGTGTTCAAGGAAGGATAACGGACGTGGTGAACCTGTTCTCTCTCTCCTCCCCTCCCCCTTGTCCCCTCGGATTCTTTCCTGCTCAGCTCCTTTGGCTTGTTCATCTTCGTGGTCAGAAAGCAAGTGTCTACTTGGGGAAAAGGCCCAGGACAAACTCCGAGGTCATGCACTGTGTTAAGCACTTGGCGTGTATTTATCTCGTTAATCACGTAGCACTTCTGAAGAGATGCTTTTACTGTTGTCATTTTCTCGCGAAAATACACACTCAGTGCTAAATGACTAGTCCCGGTATTCGCTAGACTAGTCAGCTTGTCTTGGACGACTTAAATTGAGTGTGGCTTTTGATTTCCATGAACATAAAATTAAAATGGGTCCTAACTTGAAGTTACTTCAGACTACAACACACACCTACAAGTCGAGGTTAAGTGATGTAGAAAGACATCGGAGTAGGAGCCACTTAGTAACCTTTGGGAGAGTCACCCCTTTTCATCCTCAGCTGCTTGAGTGTAGAATTGAAATGAGTACCAGCCTTGTCTACTTCCTAGAGTTATCAGGATCAAATGAGAAGTAAATGTGAATATAAATTACTAATGTTAACTACATATGACTGTTTCTGCTCTTCAAATTCCTGAGTAAGCTCTCTCTTTTATGTGTTTCTAGGGTTAGTATGAATACTAAGAAGTGATTCCTTACCTTTATTCTTTTTTCTTTTTGGTTAATCCGCAGGAGGATATATATATTTTTCCCATTGATTTTTAGGAGTGAAAGAGAGAAACATTGACGTGAGAGACATTGATTGCCTCCTGCGTGCCCTCCAATGGGCTGGGGATTGAACTTGCAGCCCAGGTTCATACCCTTGACCTGGAATTGCACCTGCGATCCTTCAGACCCTTCAGTGGATACCATGGTACTCTAACCACTTAGCCTGCGGGCCAGGGCCTTATTTCCATTATTTTTTGTGGACAATTATCCTGATTATTACTACTATTTATTTATTTATTTATTTATTTATTTTAATTTCACCATTCCTTGAAATGTAGCAGAGCTAGTAGATAAGAGCAGGTTTTAAACTAAATTGCCTGAATTAAGTACTGGCTCCAGTTACTAGCTCTATGATCTTTAGCTGTTTACACATAACCATTCTGTGCTTCAGTTTTCCATTTGTGAATGGGATACTAACAAATACTTCATAGGATGTTATGAGAACTAAATGAGAAAATATTTGTGATGTGTGAAAACTGTTCCTGACAAATGCTATGAAATAAATTCTTGATTTTATTCATCAAGTTTTAATGTGAAATAATAGCTAAAAGAGAAAAAGCTCTAGGTGATGACATATTTTAAACTTATTGTATCTTATAGCTAATCCTATTTTAAATCTTTAAGCCTATATAAATTTTATACCAAAATTTGTACTGGGCTTTATATCATTGATATTGCCATAGTCTTTTTAAAAATCCATGTATGTATGTTTTAAATATTTTAACTGTTTTGCTTGGTTGGTTGATTGGTGATGATTCATTTCAGTTAGTGCAAATAAGAATTATAATACGTACCCCCTGCCCTGGTATGTTGGTTACCAGCTTAGTTGGTTAGATTTTGTCCTGATATGCCAAATTTGCAGGTTTAATCTCTGGTCAGGGCACATACAAGAATCAACCAATGAATACATAAATAAAGTGGAACAACAAAATCAATGTTTTTCTCTTTTCTTTTCCTCTCTAAAGTCGATCAATAAATAAAAATTGCCCTGGCCAGTGTGGCTCAGTTGCTGGTTGTCCCATGCACCAAAAGGTTGCCAGTTCAATTCCCAGTTGGGGCACATGCCCAAGTTGCCTGCTCCATGCCAGGAGGTGTGCAGGAGGCAGCACATCCATATTTTACTCCACATAGATGGTTTTCTCCCTCTACCTATTCTCTAAAATTCAGTTGTAGTATTTAAAAACTAAATAAGTAAAAACTTAAAAGAATTATAACACCATTTTACTTTTGGTTATTTTAAAATGCTTCATAAACTATGTCCATTTGAGAGTCGGTGTAAGAAAACATTTAAGAGAGTGGTTCTTGAATCATATTTGAGTTCTAGTTTCTGCTTTGCATTTGTGAGTCAATTGACCTTTGACAAATCACCTGCCTTTTTTAAGCTCCCATTTCCTAATTATAAAATGGGAGAAGTAAAGGTATGTTAAATGGAATATAAGGCATATAAAACATTTAGAATAGTGCCTGGCATATAGCAAGAATTCAGTGTATCTTAATTACTGTTATGTCATTGTGCACACAAAAAACTCCCAATAAGAGTGAAAATGTGTGTAAACCAAGATTCAAGTTGGATCTATGATTTACCAAAGGTCTCAGGCCAAAAAAAAAAAAATTAAAATTAAAAAAAAAACTATATATATATATATATATATATATATATATATATATATATATATATAAAGTGCTCCTCACTTCTAGTGCTGATCTTTTCCTTTAAAAGCACTGCCACCTTTTCTAAAATAACACCTGTTCAGCTTGTGCATATTGATTAGGTTCATCCCAGTTACAGGTTCCTTCACTTCCCATTGTGTTTCCAGTTTTTGGCTATTTTTATTAAACTACCTTTTAAAAAAATATATATAGATATATATTTTTTATTGATTTTTTTACAGAGAGGAAGAGAGAGGGATAGAGAGTTAGAAACATCGATGAGAGCATCATCGATCAGTTGCCTCTTGCACACCCCCTATTGGGGATGTGCCCACAACCAAGGTACATGCCCTTGACCGGAATCGAACCCGGGACCTTACAGTCCGCAGGCCGACGCTCTTTCCACTGAGCCAAACCGGTTTCGGCTAAACTACCATTTTTATTTTTGGTTTTGATTCTGCCCTCTCTCTCTCTCTCTCTCTCTCTCTCTCTCTCTCTCTCTCTCTCTCTCTCTCTCTCTCTATATATATATATATATATATATATATATATATATATATATATATTTCAGAGAAAGAAGCATCAATAATGAGAGAGAATAATTGATTGGCTGCCTCTTGCATACCCCTTACTGGAGATCAAGGCCACAACCCGGGCATGTGACTTGACCAGCAATCAAACTAGGACCTTTGGATTCATAGTTCAATATTCAACCACTGAGCCACACTGGCCAGGCTGTCCTTCCCTTTTCTTCATGAATCCTTCCTTTAGTTTCCCCTATCACTCAGACCTAAAGTTGTTAGCATGCATTCTTCCAAGAAAAGAATAGATATTGAAGCTAAATTTTTATAGTGGTTAGTGTTTTTTTTTAAAGTTGTGATATTATTAGCCTATCATTAATTTGCATTTAATGTAAAACTGAATTATTTTTATGAAGCTATTTTATTTTCTCCATACTTTTCCTCCTTTTCTCTGAGATTGTAAAAAATAAAGTGAAGGGTTTTTTTTAGGAACTAAAAAAGGAGGTTTAGAGTCACACAAATCCCCTGAGCCATTCTAAAAATACAAAGAATACAATTTATGAATCATTGGGTTATTTTTTTAAATCTTAAATGATTTAAAATGTGGATGTGTGTGTGTGTTTTTTTAACATCAAAAACATGGTTTATATCATATAAGGCACATAGTATTAACTGCATTATTTGCAGGAAATTTTAGATAATTTGATTTTATAAAGTATTTTGTGAAGGAAGACCATTTTGAACATATTTCTGGAATATGGATATATAGAAGTAGCTATTAAATTACATTCAAACCAGCAGGTGTTTATTGAAGCTCCAGAAAAGGGACTTTTGCTTCTAAGGCTTGCAGGGGGTGGTGTGTGTGTGTGTTCTGTTTTTGACATTATTGTACATATCTGTGTAATTCCTTATCTTTGCCTTTTTGTCTTCCTCTATTGAGTTTGTTTTGTATGTTTACATTCCTCACAGGAAGTAGGATTTCATAAGGTAGGCCAGTAATAGATTGGTTGTAGAGAATTGGAGAACATGGCTTCTGTCCTTAAGAAGTGTATACAGTGGGGATAAACAAATATAAGTATGTAAAACATAACTAGATAAAAATACTTCAATACACTTAGTATATTATTACTGTATGAATAACACAATATTTTGACATTCAAGGAAAGTAGAAACTAGGCTGGGCTAAGAAAAATCTTGGAGAGAATAGCAATGCTTTTTGTACTTCTATTCAGGGAAATAATGAATAGTCTGGCCCTGGCTGGTGTGACTCGATTGTGTGGCATCCCCTGCACCAAAAGGTAGCCACTTGGATTCCTAGTCAGGGCACATACTCGAATGTAAGCTGATTGCCTAGTAGAGGGTATGCAAGGGGCAGCTAATGGGTATTTCACACTCACAGTGATATTTCTTTCCTGCTCCCTTCCTCTCTAAAAATCAATAAAAAATCATTTTTAAAATTATAAAAAATACATTGAAAAGTCTGGGTTTGCAATAAAATGTGTAATTCACATTTCAAATATCTGCAGCATGTGCAGAAACAACAAAAGAATGAATATACTTTATAAAAA